TCAGCTGATTCTTCATAATGAACTTCGTGACCAAGCACGCGATAAGGGACCTTTCATTCCATACCACTGGTAGCATGGTTTCTCGCTGGGGCGGGTAAGTATGGAGGCGGAGTCACCAGAGAAAGGAGGTGTTACTTGAGAAACTTAGAGCCTTCGCGCCTTTACCTTACAACTTCCCGTCATGGAAATCGTACAAGGTAGTTTATTACGGGCCACACCATCTTTCCCGCCGCAATCCCTTGCATTTTGTTAGGTATCGCGGACAACTATTCCTTCAACTGCTACCTCAATTCTTCGAAGTAGTTGACCGCTAAAGCTCGGAGTCCATTATTCGGTGGATATAGGGGGATCGAGGGGAAGGAGCTCATTTCCTCATCGTGTAACGGAGGCCATTGCATCCGCCTGATATCCATCAATTTCGAAGGCAATTTCGAAACCATTCTCATTGCCCAGGCATGATGTTTAATGCGGAATGGCCTCGCTATGTCCATTATCGACATGAATAGCATGGCCTGAAGCTGAGCCGCAACGGGAACGGATGCACATGAAAGCGAAGCGCTCGGGAGCAAAGTACTCCTTGCCTCAAAAGCCTGAAGTTCGGGGGGGGGGCGATAGAAGAATGATTTATGGTGTCAGGGTGAAAGAAAATCCCACTGCAGCACTTGATGCTATATGTCATGCCAAGTGATACTTCGTCACTCAAGACGCGAACATTGTGGTCGTATTTTTAGCCCATCGAGGATGTTTTCGCAAAGAATTTGATAAATGCGCTTCTCTCAAGAGAACACTCAATTTACCACGAATTCTTGAGAACACTTCTCAATTTTGCTTCGAAGATTATCACGAATTGCACGAAATTCTGAAGAGGGCGTTCGTGCAAAATCTGAAGCGCGTGAATTTTGCATGAGTTTCGCTCAGGTTATTACAGAACCCTTTCAACGTTCACGATCTCCCCCTCCCAACAGGACAGCATCGTGTGAAGCACATGTGGCGGTCGTTCTTTTCGCTGGGGAGGGTTGTATTCGATGGTTGTTGGGAGAGGTGGGGGAGGGGTCTTATGGGGTTTTGAGAGAAATTTGCCCCGTTGGGAAGGAAAAATTTTCCCGGTTGTTGACTTTTCGAGATTTTTCACATTTGCTATCCCCCCGCTCGACAGTAATTTCTTCGGTAAAAGTAGGAAAATTTTCGAGAAGTTCCGTAAAAAGTGGTAGGGAGTTGGAACGTCCAAGGAATTTCCTCGCTTTAACACGTGCTATCTACCTCCCCCCCCTGCTCGACGGAAAATCTCTGGGTGAAAAACTGGAAAATGCGTGAAATTGGTAGGTAGATATTGGGGAAGGGGGGGGGTCGTACCAACACCACCGCTTCACACTTCACGATGCTGTACCTTGCCTCCCAAGCTTCGACCCAAATACGACCCCGTTGAAAATTCTTCAAGGATAACGTGTAATGGTCCGACACCAGATGAACGACCTGATGGTAGTGTCATTGCTGATGATACTTTGGATTAGGGTGCTATCATTGGGATGAGTGAACAGCGGTGCAATCCGCCAAGGGGGAGGGGGGAGGGAAGGTCACGGTATGATTTCCTTCCAAACCTACCAACTATCCTAGCAACTTTCCCAGATATTTTGCAGTCGATCGTGAGATTGGGCAAGGAGCTCTGATTAACCATCACGGAAAACAGTCTTGTTGCTCCGCCAAAAAGGAATGCTCATATGGCCCAGGGGAAACGGGAAAAATAGACAGTCAGAAAAAAGCCCAGCGAACATATGACCAGGACGCGTCCTGCCGATGTGGAAATTTTGCGAAATCCGTCCCCACCCTCGAAAATTCCCCCAATACAGCCCCTTCCCCATCTCACCTACCATATTCCTACATTCTCCCCAAGTTTCTACCACTTTTCATGTGAAGTTCTCCAGTTTTCCCCAAAAACTAACGTGGAGCGACGGAGGAAGGGGGAATCGAGTGAGGTTTATAGCGTTCGTGACGAAAAGCCAGCACAACCCCCCCTCCCTCACCACTGGCAGGGATCCCCAAACTAGGG